CACCTCCATCCTCACCTGGCCCTTGACGTCCACCACCCCCTCGCCCTCCTCCTGGGCGCCCAGCAGGTGGTAGGTGGCCGTGGAGCCCTCGGGGCTGTGGCCCTCCTTCACGGGCGAGGACGCCGTGGACTCATTGCTGACGGGAGAGATGTCGCTGCTGCTGTGGTGGTTCGCGGCGGCCGGGCTGGAGGGCGACGTGGACTTGACTGGGATCTGCCAGGAGGGGATCTTCGGGGCTGACGGGGAGGGTGGGAACTGCCTCCTGGCGGTAGAGGGAGGAGAGGGCAGCGTCATGACCACATCCTGGGGCTCCCCCCCCCCGCCCCATCCCAAGGCCCGGCCACAGTGCCACTGCGCAGGGGACAGAAATGAGCTGGGCAGCCACCCTCCCTCCCTCCGCTTGGATCCATGGCCTCTGGAGGCTGGAGCAGCTGAGACGGAAGCCAGAGACGCCTGGGCTGCCCACAGAGCGCCCTGCCCACTCGGGGGCCTCCTGGGCCCTCCTCACAGCTGGACACCCGCCCCCAGGGGCCTGCCAAGCCCTGGAGCCTGTTCCCTCCTGGTCCTGACATCATCCCTGCCTCCAGCCCCAGGAGAGGGAGAAGGTGAGGGGAGGCGGATCCCCAAACACCTGGGCCTCGGACTCTTAACGTGTCTACAGCTCTGCACGGGGACGGGGGGGAGTCGGGGGGCGTGGAGAGCGCACTGCTCCGGGTCCGACACATCAGAACCAGAAGGGAGGCCCTGAGGCACTTTCTTAGAAAACCTCTGGGCTCAACAGTGGGCAGGGAAATTACTCCCTACCCAGTTCCCCGCCCTGGGCACCACGCCAGCAGCCAGCCCAGACCACAGCCAAGCCTGGGAGGGACCTGGGAGGTCAGGTCCTCTTGGCAACAGCTTGGGAATCCAGCTCTAGGACAGCGGCCGCCTGTGTGCCTGAGCCTCCTGGCTGCCCAGCGCCCAGCACCGGGCAGGGCAGCTCTTCCTCCTCGGACCCCCCGGGGAGAGCACACGCTGAGGCCAGGGCGGTCATCAGCGTCATGGACGCCAAGGAGACATTCAATTAGCAGTTTTCTTGTCTCCAACATCAGCCAACACCTGCTCTCTGTCCCCGGGCCTGGAGGGCTCCTGTCTCCCAGGTTTGGAAACACAGAGGTTTCCCTAACGACAACTCCCAGGCTCAGCCAGTCACCCCTCTACAAGGCCAGTTCTTTTCTTCAGAGAAGGCCTGCAAGGAGACGGCTTGGAGAGCTGGGTCCTCCGTCTGGGGCCCCATCCTTGGCCCTGAGTTAAGGGCCAGCTTGTGCTTCATACTGCCTCACCGGCCCCAAACCCCAAGCCTGCAGAGGAAGGTGAGCCCGCAGATCAGGTGGCCAACCAACCTGTGTCCCAGGACACAGGCCTTTCACTTTTAACACCAGACAGTCCCTGCCCCGGCCGGTGTGGCTCAGTGGTTGAGCATCGACCCATGCACCAGGAGGTCACTGGTTCCAGTCAGGGCACATGCCCCAATTGCGACTCCATCCCCAGCAGGGAACATGCAGGAGAAAGCTGACCCATGACATTTCTTTCTCATTGATGTTTCTCTCTCTCCCTGTCCCCTTCTTTCTCTAAAATGAATAAAAACATGAAAAAAAAAAAAAGCAGATAGTCGCTGACCAGCTGAAGTGGCTCAGCTGGTTGAGCGCTGCCCTGTGTGCCAACAGTTGCCGGTTTGAGTCCGTCAGGACACACACCTGGGTTGTAGGTTCAATCCCGTCGGGCCACGTATGGAAGGCAACCGATGGGTGTTTCTCACATCCATGTTTCTCTCCCTTCCTCTCTCTAGCACGTCCCCTGGCATGGCGGGCTCAGAAGGTGCCATTCTTGCGGAGGGACAGCAGAGGACCCTTGAACTGTAGGACCCTTCAAACTAAGGATCCGACCTGCTGTGGGGACCTTCTCAGGACCTGCTGGACTCGGGGTAGAGGAGGTGGCCTGTCCGAGGGATGGACGCTCTCCTCTGCCCAAGGCCCTGCTTTCCCGGACCAGGTCTGACAGGGCCGAGGAACGTGTATTTCAAAACTCTTGTGGGCACGCGGACTGAGAGGGCGGAAGGGGCCTACTGGGGACAGAAAAGTGAGGCTCGAAAGATCCCAACTCACTGCCTGAACCACACAGCACAGTCAGGGCCCCTGCGGCGACGCACCCCCTCCCAGCAGCTAGTCCAGCGGAGCCCCCTCCCCAGCCCCAGGCTGAGCGCAGAGCACAAGCCCCGTCTTCTCGCTCCTACCGATTCAGAAGAAGCCCTTTCAAGGAGTTAATTTCCGACTTGAGTTCGTTGATGTTCTGGGACTCCAGGATCCAGTTGGTGGAGGTGGTGGCCTGAAGGTCAAAACACGGGGAACAAGGATCAGAGTGGTGCCCCCCTCCTGCCCGTGGAGCTCGGTGGTTGGGGTGGTGGGCAGGGCGGGATCTGGGGGACCCTGGGCATACCCAGGGCACCGCCTCGGAAGGTTCGGCCGCTGCCCGTTCAGGGCTCTGCCTGCCTGGGTGTCTCTGTTTAATGACAACACTAAGGAATCATGACATGTATTCAGGTGTAGAAATGGTTATATAAAATAGAATGACACAATGACAAGCGAGCCTGTATCATTTAGGGATACAAACCACAGTGTTTGCACTGTGACTGGAGAAGCTGTCTGGGGTGGGGGTGCGGGCAGAGCTGAGGCAGGACCGGCTGAAGTGGCAGCTGCGCTGGGCGCGGGCCTGTGGGTGGCTGTGCGGTGCCTCCATTGTGTGTGTTTGAAATGTTCCATTAAAACAAAACTAACAAAATAAATATCCACCTCTACACCAACGACGCCCTCCACCTAAGTCCCCCTCCCTGCAGACAACCACACCACACACAGAAGAGAACTGGGGGCTGAGACAGGCAGCCACCTGCCCCCGCAGGTACCAGAGACGGGTACCCAGAGCCGTCTCGGAGGGTCAGTCCAGCAGACAGGCTGCACCCAGGGTGCACTTCCCCGCGTGGCTCGGAGCCCTGCGGCCCGGGCTCAGGAAGGCACAGACCCTGCACTGCACCTCGCTGTCAGCGCAACCAG